CGATGTCTGTGCATGAGCAGAACGGCCCTGAAGTCTTAGGCGCCCGCCTCAATGTTTTCAGCACACCACTCTTGCAGGTTGGCAGGTTGACTTCATTTTCTCCTTTCTCCTTTATAAATCGTTACGCTTCCGTGCTGCTTGCAGGCATTTTATCCAATTAGCTAATTAGACATGTGATCTGAACCTCTCCCAGTACTCAAGGTTCTTGAAAATTGCTCTGTACACTTCGTTTGCTAGAGAGGTATTTAATGAGGCATTGATACGAGCAGCGAGCTGAGTGCTTGTTAGGGAACAGCTGCCCTTTAGACTTTTTGTACAATCGACTCTTTTAATTTTTGTATCCGTTATAGCCTGGTGAGGAAGTTTTTTTTTTTGATATGTTGATTGTGGTCTGCACGCCTTATTGAAAATTACTCTTTCTTTCAATTTTCTTTTTAGGCTTTTTTTGGAGGAGAGGGGGGTGTTGTAATGGATACAGGTTCATTAAACTTGATTTTTCTTCCACCTTGCAGCCATGATGACTCTCTCTGTGCTAGTTAGGCTTTCCATTTGAAAAGGACTGGGCACTCAGCTGATCTGTTCCAGGCTTTCACACAAACGATCTTCTTAAACGTCAAAAACCTGAGAGGCAAGTGTGTGTTTCCACTCAAGGATTAATAATTAAAATGTAGCGATCGAGTTAAAAGTGATCCCTATGCAAATATCGTCGTAGACAAAGCAGACAGATTTGGGTTAGTGATGAAATGTTTTGGGCATCATTTTGATGAATCATTCATGATTGTGATTTTGAGTGTCGTATCACCAATACGTCACCTCATTAGTGAGAGGGTTGACTGGACGTAGATGATGAGGTCATATAATCTATTGACTATCAAGCCTGGTAAGAATCCTGAACAACCGAAAGGAATCAATATCTTTGCGTCATTGTATTGACTGGTCAAAGTTGGCAGGCTTGCTCACGGGGGTGTCGATAACCTGGCAAGACATTAGAACTCCAGAACTCCACTTGTAGTGATTGATGGCCATCTGAGTGCGTGGGCCTCCACTGGGCAGGACCTGGGACCTCACCTGCTGCCCTTTCTGGGGGCTCATCTCGTCATGAACAATATGCCAGCAGGACAGTGCCCATCCTCAGGGCCGGGTTTTGCTGTTCGTAGGCCCTGGGCGCTTTCACTCCGAAATGTGCAAAAAGAGGGGTCAACGCCCATTGAATGACGTCGATTGACATGCTGCACTTTACTATGCTAAACCAGGTGATTGATGAAACGAGACGAGTGACCATCACCTCGATACTGCTGGCTTCTCGAACAGCCGCATACGCTCGGAGAGCGTATCATTATTGATTACTGAGCACCTAGAGTCGATCACAAGCATATTGTTTCAGCTCGTTTTCCGTTAGTCACTAGTGTTTCCCTCCTTTGTAGGCCCTAAAACTCTCTGAATCGGCTGGGATGACGGGTAGGATCTAGGGCTCAGAGACTGGTGCACAGACGCAGCATTGTCCAGGCTCTGTGAGAGAAATGGAGATGATAACTTTCGTATTGGTGCTAAGTGCGTGATGGCAGGCGTATACCTTATGAGGCCAGAAGAGGGCAGCAACACATTTCATTGTGGTATATTTCATTTCTGATTCTTGTCCTTAACTTCTCTTCACTGTTAAAATACTCCTTGAACAATACAAACGAACCTTATGTATAAAGACTTTAATTTGTCTTAAAAATATAAATCGTTTTCGTAATATATGCACAAACAGAAAAGGGTAGCCTCCGTTTTATAACTTCGTAACACCATTTCAACATTTAGTTTTTATGCACTAACAAGCATAAAAGCAATTATAATTGAATGTAATAATAATAATAATATTATTATTAATAATAATAATAATAATTGCTATTAACAATTAATATTAATTATAAAGCAATTTCTTTTTAAGCAAATTGCGATTACGGCGTACCGTTTTTAATGTTTTTTAGATGTTTGCTTTTTTTAAAAGAGAGACTTTTTAAAACCAAAATTCGACATAATGTTTGTATTAGGGAAAAAAAGCACTTTTAAGAATCGACTGTCATTTAAAAAAAAGGAGGAATTCCGTCGCTCAGTCTGATAATCATAACTTGCATTACATATATGAACGAAAACTAGCAGTTTGAAAGGGCCCCTTTAAAGGACAGGATCATAATGGCAATAAAAACGCAAGCTCAGCTGATAAAGACAGGAGAGATAATTGTGGGAGGGAGGACATGTAATTTCACCAGACAGGAATCTTTGTACTATCAGCAATTGACAACCCTCTACCCTCTCAGTCTGTGTGCGAGCACCGAGATTTCTGCTGATAAACGTGTATTATGTGCTCTGACACGGAGCAAGGCAGAAGCTAGAAGCAGACTACATGTAATTAAGGATTAAGCAGCCCGGCGTTTGCAAGAGCGACATGAGGACTGTGGTATAGTTAGGAAACCTTAGGGTGGATGATGCAAAGCAGATCTTTGGGCTGGCGCCTCGGCATCATTACCTACAATTACAATAATTACCGCCTATCTAGTTATTTTTATATACATGCATGTATGTCCCTTTGAGGGAAATTGCTTTCTTCACCTTCTGACACTACTGATGACCATCTACGTCGCATACTTTAAGCCTATTAAAGTGCTACTGGGCTACCTTAAACGACGAAAAACTTGGGGGGAAAAAAGACTTCTGCTCAGCAGAAGTAGTCATATTAAAAATAAAAAACAACAACACCAGTTAATGTCTGGCTGTATCCAAAAAAAAATAAAATATATTAATTTTCCAATTCGGTCAAAAATATTTTTTAATTACTATTTGCTGGAAAGCAACAATGCAACCGTGGTAATTAAAATAACTAAAGCTATAAATCCTTGTAATATATTAAGGTCATCTAATAGATATAATATATGAATAATAAAATATTTTTATATAGCGCCTTTAAAATCCTGACAGTCTGCAGTTTCATTATTATTTATTTAAATTGCTAGAGAATATGGAATTTTACTTTTGGCCTGAGAAGAGAGTCGGATCCGGGTAGTGATTTATAGAATAAAATACAATTTATATTTTTAATTACAAAACATTATTCTTTTTTAAGTGACTAACTTTAAATTGACTGCTCTTCACGCCCTCAAAAAAACCCCAATAAAGTTCTGGGTTAACCAGTGGAATTCTGCGTATCTGTGAAATCTCTTCGGTTATTTTTATTTTCTGTGGTCTCTGTTTCAGATGAGCAAATGTAGGGAAGCTTCTTCTCAAGACTGCAGACGGTACACTAACATCAGAAAGGAGATCGGGCTTGGTTGTGATATCGATCAGACTTCTGTGTGTTTTGCATGGGATTGTTTTGGGGATAATTGAGTGTCAGTCTCTGTCTGTGTCGTCTCGGTGGCGCCAACTGCTTTTTTGGATTGCTAATTTCGCTAACCGCCCGGCTGCTCCGCCTACAACATCCAGTCTAGCAACTCCAGAGTCAACAGGATCCTCAAAGCACCGGGCTTCTTCCTTCTAGGGAACTCGCCTATAGCCCAGAGTGGAGCCAACCTGCTAACCTCTACCTAAATGTGGCCGTCACCCTCCACCAATTTCTCTTTCTATGACAAATTGTTCTAGTACGTATGTGACAAAAATACTTAAACACTTTATTGCATTCTTTCCAACTGACAAAAGGGGGTCTCCTTTTCAGATTTTGTTTCCCATTTTACTTGAAGTGCACTACGCCTTTTCTCAGTCGGGTGACAACTGCGAATTGGTTTTAAAACGCCTGTGTAGAAACGATGGTTTTAATTTTATGATACAATATATACCAGGGGTGGCCAGCTCATTGGCAGCCACAAGCTTTATTGCTCACCCTTATACACCACCGACTGCTGAACACTCAGGACAAATTCATTTTAACCACTTAGGACGGTGATTCGTACAATTCCGTACTTTGAGGTCCATTAAAATTAAACTGAGCGCATCCTGTAGCCGTGTGTGTGTTGGGGAGGGGGTACTGCTGATCACAGCAGATAAAAGGGATCTCTTTATCAGACGTTTAGTTTCACAAGCTCCACGTCGGCTTTCAATTTTACTTGACGTGCACAGGGTTCATCCCGAGTGGAGTGAGAAGATATGATTGTGAAAGTGTATTATAAATCAGTATAGAAACAATGTGTTCATTCGTGTCTCATTTCAGGTGATTTGTTTAATTTACTTAAGCAGTTGTGAATCATTTGAAACGATCAAAATCTTGTTTTGACCACAGTGTCACATGTGGCCAATCTTGACCATATTTAGTTGGATAAATTGATCAAAACCCACATGTGTTATAAGTTCTTACAATGTGAAGATTTAAGAACAATCTCCTCCAGAATTTCATGGAAGTAACTAATTCAACACCATGCCTACAGTTCAGATATTAGAACGTTATACAAACAGAACAAATATTTACAATAAATGCTCAGAAAACTTCATGATGTTCAATTTTAGAAGACTTATATCATGAATCATTTGTTGCTTTTACGTTTACGGAAAAAAAACTATAGTTTAGAGAGAATTTAATTGTTAACTTATATTTATGCATTAACAGGTACAAATATAAGTAAATAAAAATTAGCTTTTGAATAGGAAACGTAATATTTTCTAAAAAGAACGGGGTTATGCATGAGATCAGTGCGTTTTATCGTGAGCACGGGTTTAAGAAAGTATATTTAAATTCAGGCTAAAGATGGTAGATTTGAGTGCAGGTTTAGGAATTATTCATTTATACAGTAACCAGGACAGTGAACTACAATTATGCCTACGCGACGTCACAGGCTTCAGAATTTCAGAAGCTGGGTTTTAGGTAGGAGGGACAATCTGGAGACGGGCCTATATGGCCTCACAGAGAACCAATCGCATCGCCGAAATCCTTACACATGCAAAACCCTAATATATTCAAACCAATGGGTGGCGCGATGGGCGGGGCCATAGTTAGGTTGCGCCGTGAAGGCAGATATTTGCGGCGCTCATCCAAAGAGTCAATGCAACAGTGTTGCAGTAGCAATACCGGATTGTGTCTGCTGTGCTTCTGGGTTTGTGTTTTTGGATTATAATCGTTTTTCTCCACACAGAATCGCTTGAAAGGAATGGTTGGTTCTGTTGGGAAATGTTTAAATGCGAGAAAACTGTTTCAGAATGAATGCATTTTTGTAGTTGGTGCTACTTTTTAGGTGACTGAACGGAGGAGAAGTTAGTTTTTTTTTTGGGGGGGGGAGGTAATCTCCATTTCGATGTAGTTTTAAAGACGGGGACAGTTTCTCCGTTGTGTAATTTTACTTTTCGCATCCTTCCCGAAGGATAGCGCCAGCAGTTTTCGCGAAAGCCGATGCCTTTTCTTTTCGACTCATGCGCCGCTGAGAATCAAGAGTTCCGCTGAGGATCGGGCGAGCGTAAAAAGTGGGACTTGAATGTAAAGCATTTTTTGTTTCTTAAATGGATCGCCATTCCAGTTTCATTTCCATTTGGCTGCAACTGGAGCTGTGTGCCATGGCAGTGCTTCTTACGAAAGGTAAAAGTGATCTCGTTTATTATCCTTCGAGGAAAAGGGGGAGAAAAAAAACCTCCAGTGCTTCTTTTCGTACACTCGCCTCTTGTCTCGTCATATGTGGTGTGACTGCTCCCTTTTTGAAAGGTTGCGGAATGTTTGATATAACGTGATTTCCAGTGCCTGGGGTCAAAAATGTGTAAACATATACTCTTAAAAAAACTTGAAGTCTAATGACAAAAACGATTTAAGCATATTCGGGCCTGTTGTGGTCTTGCCTAAGCCTTAAATCATTTCCTTTTTAGTGGAACCGTTAATCACGCTCTGCTCCGATTAATAATATACATAATGAATCTCTATAAATGATATTTACTCCTTTCTCTTTGTTAAATATCGAAGAAAAATAAGAAAGTGGTTAAGTTCTCGCTCAATGCATTCCGTAACCCCCTTCCCCCGCTTTCATTTTAAGCTCTGGACCTCTCTGGGGCAAGTGGTTGTCAAAATGTTTTTGTTTCGGTCTTATGATGAACTTGACTTCTCGGGCTCGGGGCCGTCCTGACGCCGGCAGCTGCAGTGTTTTGGAGACGGGAGATGCACATTTTCAGATCGAGAATTTTGAGACGGTGGTCGCTTCCTGGTGATGAGCAGGCGTTTAAAAACCGGGCAGTTTTTAAAATCTCTTAATGGATCGGGTACGTTTTCACAGGTTTTGGATGATCGTGGTAAGGGAGAAGTGCCGGAAAGTTAGCATGGGTCTGCGAGCTGCAATAATAAGCTTCCTGTATAAGTCATGTCAGTGCGAGAAGTATCCTTTAATTAAGCTTTCAAGATATGAGGTTAAGAGATCATCTGTATCACAATTATGTGTTGCAGTGTTTATTTTTTGGGAATGGAGTATATAATTAGCCCTAAATAATAGATTTGCAGGCGCTGGAGAGGTGGGTCTCATCAAAGACGCACAGTTCGAGACGGAGAGATAGTGGGTGATGTAAAGTCGGGGATACTGAAACTATGTGCCTGATAAAGATGTAATTAAGGGATCCAAAACTGCCAACCGAACTTAAATCGGGTAGTTTTTTTAAACCTATGGAGGCTTTTCCAGTTTATTAAAAAAAAACTCTTAAGTCTGAGATTTTAATTTCCATTTAAAAAAATGTCAGTATATGTATGTACGCATTTAATAGCCTTCTCTTCTTAGTTTCGTTAACCACGGTTATTACTCCACTATATACATTTTATTTTTTATTTGTTCTTTAGCGCGGCCTTTTAGGATTAAGCTACCTTGTATCAAACCCGTCTTCTGCTTAATTAGAAATCATTACACCCAGGGTATGATGCATACTGCTTTCTTTAATCTTGTTCCGTATCTATAATACGAGTAGTCTTTTGTCTGGCGTTTGTCTTGTAGAAGGAAAACTAACATGACCTGAAACCCGAGCCTCTTAATACAAACATACCCTGCCCCCAGCAACCCCCTTTTACACATAAAAGCCTGTGTTTGTGTATGTGTACGTTTTAAATTCTTATGTCCATGCACAATGGTCATTAGCCTTAAACGGACAATAGATGCTCTTCACATGGCGACAGTGTGGTTAAAAGGAAAGAAAAAAGAAAGGCAGGTCGTACGTTTACCGTGGAGTACGCAGTGATTCTCATTTTGTTTTATTGTTGAATGAAATTGGGCAGTCGTATTTATTAACGAAGTCGTGAGCGTGTGCATTTATGTCGTCAATAATGTAACACACCACACTGAGAAAATACAGTACTAATCGAGCGCCTCAGTTCCGAAAACGGGGTCCTCTGCATCTGACATTCCTTCCACAGTAATTGCGGTTAGTTTTTTTTTGTGTGTGTATTAAATAAGAATTTGAAATCTGAACTTTTCCCCCGTTACGACCGCAAGTTAAATTGCGTGCAAACTGAAAACGGAGACTCACGCGCACTTCCTTAACCCCCTTTTTTACGAGTTTCCATTTGGGCTGAAAGAAATTGACTTTGGCAAACAAACCGCTAATTATGAAGCTACACGGTTCCTGTTTTAGAATATTGACTAAACGGGGCCTTTTCACGGAAAACTCTTAAAATGAGCAGATTTTTTATTTTAAAGTTGTGAAAAGCCGATTATTTCATCCCAGTATTTCCCGTTGTGAAATTGGACGTAATCAATATTCCCGTTTTTTTTACAAACGGACAAGTGTAGGTAAGACATTACAATACTAAGTCGATTTCCGATAGACGAATACACCACGGGCTGAAGTTTTAAGAGCTTTAAAAAAATCCCAATAACTTCATTCTGGCAGACATCATCACTGTGTGTGGCTACATATTATACATAAACAAGAGAGGAAACCAGTTTATTAGCTCTTGCTATTTTAATAATCTACCGGTATTTTGCGGATCAGCATACGAGTTTGGTTAGAACTGCGGACTGTTCTCTGTATTAAGTCCGAGGCGTCATGAAATAGACATTAACCAGTAACTCATTGAATATTTTCTTCCTGGCGTATTTCCACATCTCTCCTCTAGATCTTAAAATGTCTTGCGAAAATCATTGTGGTTTGCAGACACCGCCGTTTAATCATGCATAATAAGTTCATTACACTTTATCCGAAAAAAAAATCATATATATTGCAAAGGGCTTTTCTAAAGGTGTTTGGGATCTTCATTATAAAACCACAACTTTTACTATTACCGGGCTAAAGGTGATTTTATATTACCATATAAAATCACAATTATATTACAATATATATCTGTAATATAAAATTGCAGAAGGGTAACCTGCGATGTAATAAAAAGCCTTTATGCATGGCTGTACTCTATATGAAAATGGCAGTACCCTGACTGACCTGTCTTTTATACGTTTTCGTTTCAGGAGAAATACGGTGTTACTGCGATGCTCCTCAGTGCGTGGCTACTGGTTACATGTGCAAATCGGAATTAAACGCCTGCTTTACCAGGGTGCTTGACCCTCACAACACGAACTCGCCTCTGACGCACGGCTGCTTGGACTCCTTCGCCAACTCGGCCGATGTGTGCCGGTCCCAGACCGCAGAGGATCACACGGGCGGCTCATACAACCTGGAGTGCTGTCACGAAGACATGTGCAATTACAGGCGACTGCATGATCTCTCGCATACCAGAGGAGTCACATCAGGTAAAAAAAAAAAAACATAGTTATTCTGATTCTAAAGTCAGGTGCTTACCTCCCTTTTCCATATTTAAAAAAAAATGTAAAAATATGTTAATTTAGCAATTGTTTTTTTAACCTCTTTCAGAAGGGGTGTACAACAGCTGCAGAAAGCAGAGATCAAGGCGCAGCTTCAGAATTCAATTTATGTTGTTTTTATCTTAACACTAGGTTGGTTTATGTGGCTTATCCACATTGTTTGCATTGTGATAATCCATCTGCTATTAGCACATAGTCTCCAGTGTATCATTGAAGCAGTTAGGAGTGCAGTCGTCATTTAATTCCTGACTGGCACTCTCATTGATACTTAATGGGGCACAGTAACGTGAGGCATGAGTGGTTTATTGTAATCAACCGTTGGCATACTTTTGCACATAGTGTGAAGTTTGCCACATTGTAGGTACTTTTTTGTTCATCAAAAGTGTGGAAGTGCAGTGCTGGGACATTCTTCTGATGAGACGTAAAAAAAAGGTCCCGACTCACTGTGGTCATTAAAAGTCCCAGGGCGTTTCTCGAAAAGAGTAGGGGTGTAACCCCGGCGTCCTGGCCAAATTTCCCATTGGCCCTTACCAATCATGGTCTCCTAATAATCCCCTCCTCTGAACTGGCTTCATCACTGTGCTCTCCTCCCCACTGAGACCTGGTGTGTGGTGAGCGTTCTGGCGCACTATGGCTGCCGTCTCATCATCCAGGTGGGGCTGCACATTGGTGGTGGTGGAGGGAGACCCCAACCTGTAAAGCGCTTCGAGTGGAGTGTCCAGAAAAGCACTATATAAGTGCAAGCAATTATTATTTTTAAGACTCAACTTTTGATGGTGGTAGCATCCTTCAAGCCAGTGTGTTGTAAACAAGCGCATTTTTTTGGACCAAAAAAACCCCTTTGTAGCTTTGTAGTCGAGATGTGGAATAATGTGGCTCTAATCGACGCTGCACAATGTGGATGCGGAAAAAATACGAGTTTGCCCAACCTCTGTGCCTTTAGACCCCCGTTTACTCTGAGTGCGTGACGTGACTGAGGTCCGCACCCGAAGAGTTCGCGGCGTCCACGTGTGCAAGCCTGCTTCCACGCCTCTTGTCTTTTCCCCACTCCAGACCACGGGCAGAGGTACCCGTCGGAGAGCAGCAAGAACCTCATCACCCGGGTCCAGGAGCTGGCCTCGGCCAAGGAGGTGTGGTTCCGCGCGGCGGTGATCGCCGTGCCCATCGCCGGGGGGCTGATCCTGGTGCTCCTCATCATGCTGGCCCTGCGGATGCTCCGCAGCGAGAACCGGAGGCTGCGGGACCAGAGGCAGCAGATGCTGTCCCGCCTGCACTACAGCTTCCACGGGCACCACGCCAGGAAGGGCCACGTGGCCAAGCTGGACCTGGAGTGCATGGTGCCGGTGACGGGCCACGAGAACTGTTGCCTGACCTGCGACAAGATGCGGCAGCCGGAGCTCGGCAACGACAAACTCCTCTCGCTCGTCCACTGGGGGATGTACAGCGGCCATGGGAAGCTGGAGTTCGTATGATCGCCCGGCCGGCCGGGCTGGGACGCTCGGTTGCTGTTATGGTTATTCCTCTGGGGGGCGTGTTTTTGTTTTTTGAACAGACGGGAAAAAAACCGGAAGGAACGCGGGCCTTGTTGGTTTTGCCTGAGGAGCACTTTACTTGAAATAAAGACGCATCGCACAGGGGAGCTGTGGCGGAAAACTGCAGGACTGGTGGGAGGGGCGGACCCTGTGCAGACCCCCGGAATCCTGGACTGGTCGCCGATCGCTGAAGGATTCCCCAGTTTTCTGATTTGCACATTTGTATAAAGTTTAGGTTGTTTTGCTTTAATGGAAGCTGAATAGACCGATTCCACACTGATACCAGGGTACAAAAGGAAACCGAGGAGTAATAATGGACCGTCTAGTTATGCACACTCCTCCGTGTACGTTTCTCGATTCCGTTTATTGTAAAGATTTAAAATATATATTTTTGTCTGATAACCTGCTGATTTGGCGTGATTCTTGTTTGTCTGTAAGATTTACTTTGTTTTTCGGGTTCGCGCTGCGAAGGGAAACATAACAAGCTCCGTGCTCTGAAATGAGAAGGGGTGCGAACCTCTCTTGTCCATGTCTGTCTTTGTAGGTCACGCACATAGGCTTGTGTCGGTGTTGACTTAGTGGATGTAATTGTTTTTGTGCACACTGCACACAGGACAGGTTGACAATCAACGTGTGATATGATAGAAGTTGATTAAAATGTCGGGAATTTAGGTTTTAAGTAACTTCATGTTGTGTGGGCCTCATTCAAATTAAATGTAGGATTTTTTTAAAAGGATTCTAGTTCTAAACACGTTAACCCTTCAGACAGACTAATTGGCAGATTTGTTTGTGCGTAATCAACATATCCGGATAATCAATATCTACATTTCTTTGGTATACATTTGGCAAAATTTTCCTGCCGGGAAATGTTATAAAGTATCTGTAATTCTGTGCTTTCAGTGCCAGTTGTGTCCCAGGCCTGCACTGCTTTCACACAACTTTGACAATTTGTGAAGAAGCCAGGCTACAAAGTCATTAGCGGCTCTGGAGGCATTACAAAGATTTGAAGTTGTTACAGTGGGGCCTTGTATTACAGTAGCTCTACAAATCTCACTGACTCATTCTTGAACTACCTCCAAAGGTCAGATTCTTGTACTTCAAACAGCTTTTGTGAGGCAACAGCTGGATTTATCCTGGAAGAAGTAGTATTTATTTTCTATCCGTCATAGTGCTTTCCATTCCAATCGATTTTTTTTGGTCTCCAAAATCAAGGCCTTGCCTTGCCCCTGCACTATACAATGCTGGGGTATCTGAACACATGGGTAACGAATCAGGTAAATGTCTCGCGTCTGTGTATTAATACGCTTTGCCTGTTATGCTTGGACAGTGGTACCAGCCTTGATACCAGTTAATTGGACTGTCAAAGCAAATGTGGCCAGCCTAGACAGGTTTACCAATTGCACCATAAGCCATGTGGACTCTTGGTACAAAGAGGGGGGCTTTCCCTTTCTACCGCCATTGTCATTACGTGTAGGGGTGGGAAGAGCAGAGTGGATTTCTGACGCAGTGCCACTGTTTGCTATCGACGCCTGCTGGGCTCGTGCCTGTGGGTTAAGCTCAGGTGGAGACCCGTGTGTCCTGTCCTTTTCCTGCCGCTCGAAAAACTCGTTTTGCTGCGCCACCGCCTGAAGCCATTAGCTTGCTGCCTTTGGGGCAGCGTTGAAGCTTGTTTCGGTCATGCTCTGTTTTTGGTGTTTAAGCCCCGCCTTATGACCTGATTTGTTTTTGTCGGCCGCAAAGGGATTGGCACGAGCTGCTGCCCTTTTCTGTTGTGGTGGTTATCCGCACACATCTCCTGCATCCAGCGGAGTTGATTTTTCTTGTTTTTTGTCCTCTTGCGGGTATTGACCGTGGAAGAAAGAGCACCCCGTCCTTCCTCGGGGTTCCTCAGTGTATCCTGATATTTTTTAGGTGGTTCTCCACTGGCCAGCCCATCCCAGATAAATGGCACTAAACGGGGATACGCCCCTTTGTCGAATTCTGAGAGGAGAAGAACTGAACAAGAACAAGAAGGCAAGAACACGCGTCTGTGTTCCTGTAGCTCTTTAATCAGGGCGCCTCTTTTTTTTCCCTTCATTGTTATAACCCTGAGAACACTTAGACTTCAAAGTCCTCCTGTTTTGTGTCAAGGGCTGTGCGGTGGTTCTTTGCCTGTACTGTGGCCTGCAGCCCTTTTGTTCTCCAAATACGTTCTTGCACCTCCCACCGAAAATCATTGAAGTCCATCAGGTTCTTAAACCCAAGATGTTTCATAACTGTGGAATGAAAGAGATATAATTTATATATTTAGTTCAATTACTCAGAATAATCAGAAACTCGTGCAATATTGCACATTTTTTTTTACTGTTTACCTTAAAATACCCAGGTTCGATTGTACAATGTAGTTGTGCCTATGTGCCTGTGCTTAATTTGTGTTTGAATAGATTTACCTTCTAAAACAACCTTCACACCTTAGGTTAAGAACCACCAATTTAAGGCAATAAAAAATGGAACTGAAATGCACTTATATTCAGGCCAACATCAGGTGTCATTTCTCTGTTACCAGTTCAGATGGCAGTAATATTCACACATAATAACAACAATAATGATAATATATTTCAAAACAGATTATTAATATATTTCAAATATATCCAAACAGATTGGTGAAATATCTTGGAAACTACAGTCTAAACTAGAGTTAGAAGCGCATGTTGAGTATTGAAGGAAATCTTTTGGAGTGGATGTCTGAATTTTAACCCTGTTGCTTCTCTGCAGGTCAACGTGAAAGATTTGTTTAAAATAAATATATTCTACTTTAAAAAAAAAACAACAAAATAGATTATTTAGAAAGTTGCTTTCACTTGCCTTGAAGTGAAGCCTCACTGTACCGCCTGAATTTGTCCTGTTGTCTGACTGCACTGTGAGGGCTCATAAAACATTCCTTGCCAAGAAGGATGTTTAAAAAACAATTTATCTAGGCCTGTAATGCTTGCATTAACAGTCCCGAACCTGGGCACTTCATATCCCTTTGGGACTACTAGTCCTGTAACAATATCAACGCCCCTCAAATTAAACAACTAATGTGGTCAATGTTTTGTTAACAATGGCGTTCTCAGCGTTGGGTACCGCCCACCAACACTAGACCATGATTTTCAAGGCCTGGCTGACGTCTTCCTTGTACTCGGGACTAGACAGACGCCTGTCTTTTGCCACATTTGAGAGGCTCCGTTTAGGGCTGTTCTCTTAAAGGCCAACCATCTGCTATCTTGTTTGGCAATGGGTGGTGGGGCTGTTTGTATTGACATGCAAATATAATTTGGTGTCTTACAGGTTTCCTTGAACAGCCCAATTTGTTTAACAGTGACTGCAGACCCCATTTGTTTCATCATTGCAGCAGATTTATAAACCTGCTTTTCATGGTTATCAGCTGTGACCTTCAGTTTACCAGACTACCTGGGATATGGAGTAACTGCCATTCATTTTAATGAAAATAACACTGAGCTCTCTGAGTAGGACCTAACATATCTGTATTACTCTTGGTCACACAGAGACGTTTCCCAGTTTTGAGTTTTGATTTGATGGGTTTTGAGTAACAATGAATTTTATGAGTTTTTCAAAAGAGTAATGAGCTTATTATTGAAAACCTTCTGCTTTACTTCACCATTAAAAGAGCCTGAGATTTCGGTTTCTGCATATTAAACAGTACTAAAATATTATTTCAAAGATTAATGTGGGAGAAAAATAAATACTTGTTTATTATATTTGTACATTATTATTTTAGACTATGTGAAATTTTTTAAAGGTAGTATTTTTCTACTGTGTATGTTCAGAATTTTACTTAAAAACTCATATGGGAGTTTAGAGCAAAGGTTCAGGAGGCACGACAACAACCAAGTTCTAGCTGTCAGTAGTTCTCAATCACTCCTGATGTCACTCCCTCTCCTAAACACTATAAATACTGTACATGATCCCCTTCTCTCCCTCCGTCTTTCTGCATCCCACCCCACTCCATCTCCACCCCTGCAGCTGCCCCTTGGTCACTCCTGGTCACTCCCCTGTCTGCAGGGGGGTCCAGACCTCCTCGTCCTCTGGCCAGGAGGTCGGCCCTCAGCCAAGCAGATTCAGCCAAATTGTGAATAAAACACTCCATAATCCTTTCAGGACACTTGGGTGTTGTTAAAACATATTAAGAAATACAGTATGTCTTAGGTAACCATTTGATAAAAGTAAATTTAACATTTATTTTGGTCCAGCTCATTTTTTATCAGTATATCTTTTAACTAATGAAAAAAATATTTTTCAGTTTATTTAGTCAGTGAGTCAATTTCTCACAAGTATATCCTAAAGAAATCAATTAATGACCAGACAAAATTGGACACGATCATACATACCACTGAGACGTTTGGCTCCAGTCGATGAGCTGAGCGGAGCCTAATTTGGGATTGAAAGGAGATGTTGTAATTGGAAAATAAGACACTGAAACATGATTGTTTAAACTTTATTTGTTTCTGGTTTTGCTGTTCTTGGAAAAAGGGAAAAAAACACTCCAAAAATTCCTGCAAAAACACTTCCACAGCATATACCCAGAAAATCTATTTTAAAGTGGACCCAATAACAGAAAGTCTTCATTTGTGTTTATTTCTGTTAATGGTGTTCTGTGCAAAAAAAAAAAAAACACAAATTGCCTACTAGGGATGTTTACTTTCCTTAGCTGACATAAGTATTTTTTAAAAAGTGCATCACAACAACAAATTAACAGAACAATTTAAGAGTACTAGAATTCCACAAGCAGGGCCTCAATTGTAAGAGACACAGTATAATCAAATGTTTGCAGATGTCACTATTTTTCAGGATAGCCCTGAACTGATGTAAATATTTAGACATTTTTAGAATGTTATTTTTTCCATCAAATGTAAGCTAAACAGTCCTTGATCATTCTTCGTTTTAAACATTTATCTTTGTGTATTGCTAACATTAGATATCGATCTCTTTAAGACAAAAATAATGATGTTCACAATGTTTATAAACCCAGTTAAGTGCTCTGAGTTAAATGTCGTCATCTGTAAATAGGTTTTTGGTTTTAAAAGTGGGAACTGTTGCACATTCCAACATGTAGGAACAAATCAAAGTATTTAAAATGAAAGGCTGTACCGTAGGAATTAAACACCAAAAGAAGAGATACAAGCTCACCTTTAAGACGGATCTGCGATTAAAGAACAACTGAGGTGTCAGTCACAGGTTCCACTGGCTTATCCGTCTCTGTAATACAGGCCTAAGCAAAGTGACATCTTTAGAGTTTATGTGAAGAGACAATGGACTAGATTCATCTACGGCGCGGAGATCGGCAATATTACATTACATCCGTATAACCCCCGAAGGATGTTACAATGTGATTTAACCTACCCTTGGTTACAGTATGTTGT